GGGGTTTTCTGGAAACATCATTCGTCGTCAGAGGGGCACAACAAGGTAAGTCGGCCGTCAGAGGGGCACGCCGCAAATAAACGCAAACTTCAGGGGCATTTCGAAAATTTTCCCTAATATATATTTGACGATATATAATAACCTATAATAACCCTGTTCAGAAGTAGCCTGGGGCCCAGAACTCAGCCCCAGGCCACGCAGACCTGAGTAGGTCTGCGCTGGGCTGTGTGACCAAGACACGCCCAGATCTGAGTCTGTCGAGCGTGGCTGTGTGACTGAACGCTGCACACAGGAAATTCAAGAGTCAAAGTCAACTGTAGAGTCAAAGGTACCGCACCCAGGCCCTTGGTTGGATACACTCACTTGTTGTGCGCAGGTACCCAGACAGCATCCAGGCTGGAGGGAATTCGGTTTCAGGCCAATCTGGGCCCTCATTCGCATTGAGATCTGGACGGCCGAGGGATACAGCATCCGGGGTCTAGACCCCGCGTCCACACATTCTGTCTTGCGTTGATGCTGACTTCACGCATTGACTTCAACGCTGGCACGACGCTGCGACGCTGGCATTGGGACTTGGCGAGGCACTGCTGGTCCGGCATGGTGGCCAGCTTGCTCCTGTCTTCTTGGCATGCCGACATGGCAGCTGCCATGCGCTATCGCTGATGTGGCTGCTGCCACGTGTATCATTGGTTGACGTGGTTGCTGCCACGTGTTCTCTGGCTGGGACTACTGTTTCGTCGTCACTTCAGGAGGAGATCAGGACTGTGGAGAGTTCGTGATACGTACCTGGTTGCCTTCATGTCGACATTGCTCCAGTGCTGATGTGGGACTGATTAGACGTGCCACGTGGCACATTGAGGCTATTTCGGATACTCGTTCAGACTATTGATTATTGAGGTGGTAGTGAGGAGGGAGCCCGAAGCAGGAGTGGGCATTGTACTTCCTCTCCTTTGTCTCATCTCCCTCCTCTCTCTTCGTCTGTGTATGATTACCTCACCACATTCTGTCTGGTACGATTTCGACTATTAGTAATCATCAGCTGATGGACATTTATCTTTGCTTGCATTGTTGACAACTGTCTTCACGTTCTGGGTTCATTGCATATATATCGTCACAAACAGAACTGCCCGGTAAACCGTAGGCAGAGAGAGAGAAGAGGACAACAAACGAGGGGCTGTGACAAACTGTTTCGTCGGAGTTTCATAATATATATATATATATATATATAATATATTATATATATATAACTTTGACGAAACAGTTTGTCACAGCCCCTTGTTTGTTGTCCTCTTCTCCCTCTCTGCTGACAGTTTACCGGGCAGTTCTGTTTGACGATATATGTAAATTTATATTTTTGAGAAAAAAAGTGATCTGTATTGTTCCAATTTTGACAGATGTCCCAAAGGACAGCGGTTGACGGACGTGACCTTTTTTCCTTTTGTTTTGTGCTTTGTTTGCAGGATTCACGCGGAACCTTTTTCACAAGGATGCTTTAAAATATCTGGATCTGAATGCAAATGTGGGCCTTATTTTCTTCGTGTTCATGGTGGGACTGGAGATCGACCTGGAATCTCTCAAAACATCAGGCCGTCCAGTGATTGCAATATCCATGGCAGGCCTCATTTTTCCATTTGTGTCTGGAGTCTTAGTATCATTCTTCTTGTACAACAACGACGAAGTCATGTCAAGAACCATTGACCCCGATGAGAAGATTAGGTTTGTCCCATTTCTGGTATTTATGGGGGTGGCCATGTCAATCACACCCCTTGCTGTCCTCGCTCGTATTTTGACCGATTGTGAGCTGCTCACAACGGAGGTTGGCGTGATAACCATGATAGCTGCAGCCGTGGATGCTGTATTGGCATGGATTCTTCTCGCTCTTGTCATCGCCCTTGCGAATGCTCATGGAAATCCCCTGATTTCTCTGTACTATTTGCTCCTCAGTGGGGCGTTTGGTGCTGCGATGTTCTTCGTCGTCAGACCACTGATAAAGAAGGTTGTCGACAAGGTCAATACAGTTGACCCCACTGATTTTCCAGAATACCTTGTGGCCTTCTGTCTGATTGCTTGCCTAGTTTCAGCCTTCATTGCAGACTTGGTTGGCATCCATATCATCTTCGGAGCGCTCGTTTTTGGTCTTATTCTGCCCAAGGATGGCAACTTGGCAAAATCACTGACATCCAGGATTAAAGATTTTGTGTCTACGCTGCTGCTTCCGCTCTATTTCGTGAGTACTGGACTCAAGACACAATTGTCATACATTAGTAGCGCAAAGCTGTTTGGTATTCTCATTCTTCTCATTTTAGTGGCAATGGTTGGTAAGATTGGTGGTGTGTACATTGCGGCCAGGGCAACAAAGCTGTCGAACAGGAAGGCTCTTATCATTGGTGTACTGATGAACGTCAAAGGGCTTGTGCTGCTCATCGTGCTTAACATTGGACTTGAAAGGAATGTAAGTCCTTGCCTAACCTCCTGTCAATCGTACCTCGTCATTTTTCGTGAGTGTGTGTGCGTGTGTGTGTGTGTGTGTGTGTGTGTGTGTGTGTGTGTGTGTGTGTGTGTGTGTGTGTGTGGCACGAGGCTCCCGGGACCGTGCCGCGGGATGTTGCGTCGGAAGGTGTGCTTATAAACAACACAGGGAAAGAGCCCACAGCCCGGGATGCCCAGAGAAAAGAATGCTTAGCTTTCAAAAGCCATGAAACAAAAAAGAAAAACATAAAACAAAAACCAAACCAACCAGCGGCAAGGCAAGTACACCAAGGCAAACAAAATGCCAAGGCAAAGGTCAAGACGCAACACGGCACTTGGACGACAAGCCGCAGCAAAGAACACAGGGTGGAGAGCATGGGGGAGGCGGGCGGGGAGACAAACAGCACTAGGGAGAAGAACGAGGCAGCAACCAGTCAAGAAGTAGCACTCGGGCGGTGAAGCGACAGCACGGAACGTAGGCTGGAGGGCATGGGGAAGGGCGGTGGGCAGGCAAACAACGCTAAGCAAGAAAAGAACGGCCAGGAAGTCAAGAAGCAGCAAGGCAACAAGACAGCTAAGCAGACAAAAGAACAAGTAGCAAAAAAAAACACAAAGCCAAAAAAAAAACTGTTGATAGATTGTTTCGTTGGAGTTGCACCGACTCATCTGGAAGCTGAACCCTCGACCGTCTGCCCAATCCCCATGATGATCCCCTTCAACCGCTGCAGTAAGCGGACAACCAGCAGATGACATCACGAGCAGCAAGGGAAGGCGAAGCGGCAAGGCATTGGACGACAAGCTACAGTGAGGTAGATAGGCTGGCAGGCATAGCAGAGGTGTGTGGTCTGCCAAGCGACAAGGCACACAGCAGGGCGGCACTATGAGCAGCAGGCAAGACTACAGCACTGATAAGGTAGGCAAAAGACACATGAGCAGTGGGCAACAAGGCGGCCAGGCAGCAAAGCACAAAGCATCAAAGCAACAAGGCAGTGACATAACAAAGCAGCGAAGCAAAGTGCCAATGATTTCTTTCGCGCGTACTCGAGTTTCCACATGGCTTTCCTTTTGTGCACTTCCTCTGTCTCCATCTCTTTTCATTCCATCTCTATTTCCATGTTCTGCTCATACCTCTGCTATCGCTTTCTGTCTTATTGATTGTGTCAAGCAATAGGGCAGCATTTTGAGCAGTAGTCAGAATGACAAAAAGGCAGCAAGGGAGCAAGGCAGCGAGGCAGCAAGGCACAAGGAAGCACTGGTGTGGCAGCCAAACTACAAAGCCAAGGGGCGAGCAGCACAGGAAGAGAGAGAAAGCGGATGGGAAGTCAAGCATTAAGGCAGCACGGAATATGGAATCCACACACAGAATACTCCCACAGTCCCACTAGTATTTTACTATTTTCGCAGATGTATCTGACTGCAATTACGGCTGGACGTGGATGATCTCACCACAATAAAGTCCAGAGCTTCGTAGAAAAAGTTTGTGTATACGCTCAGACACCAAGGACCAAAGCAGAGCATCACTTACTCAAGCCACCCTCTGAACCAGGGAGTCACTCTGACGAACGTTTATCACCACCCTAGAACACTGAGGCACACACATCCCAAATACAACAGCCCCCCTGATAGTGTTACAGGCAGTACAAACGCGGACAAGCTTACTATTTGGCACTTCTTAACGGTATTAAACTTAGGTACTCCGAACATAAGGAAAAAGGCCAGTCCATGCAGCACTTAGGCATTGAAGAGAACACAGAGGGAGAGAGCAGATGGAGAAACAGGCAAACATGTGTCACAGTGTCAGTGTGTGTGTGTGTGTGTGTGTGTGTGTGTGTGTGTGTGTGT